CAACTGCCCGCCTTTCTGACGAGTTTTCTCATGGGTATTCTGCGCACTTCGTGTTTTTCCACTCAGGCCCCACGTGAATAATATATGTATATATATATATATATATATATATATATATGTGTGTGTGTGTGTGTGTGTGTGTGTGCGTGTGTGTGTGTGTGTGTGTGTGTGTGCGTGTGTGTGTGTGTGTGTGTGTGTGTGCGTGTGTGTGTGTGTGTGTGTGTGTTACACAGACGATACCAGGCTGATACAGCCCGGTGGTTCAGTGGCGAGTCCTATGCTGACACTGGTCTTCGCCAAAATCATCCTTCTGAATTTCAATGGTTCACTGAGAACCACCGCGCACTAAGTAGGGTTTTGAACTTTGGGGCCCGTATTGCACGCAATACCGTGTTCCGAAGCCGAATGGATCCATGCTGCGCGAACTAGGATGACACAAATTGACGACCTTATAATGTTAACGCGATATGATAGCCATGCGTAATATTCCATCAGCCACCCACGCGCCGGAGATGCTTTGAGAGCGCACGGCACGCCGCTCTAGCGTGCCCGCCCGTGCCACTCGAGCAACGGCCGTTGAGCTGCTGAAATTGCCGCCTGTCTGGGCTGTGTTGTCTTAAGTGGTTTCACGCTTCGCGTACCTAGCGAACAAAACTTGGCGCCTGCAGACGTATGAGTGTCAGCAGCCGCATTCAACGCGATCTTCGACGCTATCTTTACCTCCTATATTTGTCAAGATGAATGAATATTGTGCAGGTGCGCCGGTTTCATCTTTGTTGTTTGCTTTTTCTGTGGTTTTTGTACGTTCATTGACATGGAAGCTCCAACATTCACTTTGTGGAAGATTCTAAATCCACATCTATCTACGTGTCACGTCCAGCTTGAGCGAGTTGGTCGGTATTGTTCCTTTTCCTGGTTCGGGGTGATGGACGAACAGCGTATTCCCAGAACTGCTGCCATCGCGTGGCTCCTTGTGAGCTCGACAGCTTCACATGGTGAATACGGGGTTAATTGAGTTTGGTAAGTGAACAGAGATTTGAGTGGAAGAGGCTGCAGACCTGTAAAGGTCATAGGAGAAGCGCTTCTTTAGCCATACCAGCTACAGTTAATTGCACTCCCATGGCCCAACTGCCCGCCTTTCTGACGAGTTTTCACATGGGTATTCTGCGCACTTCGTGTTTTTCCACTCAGGCCCCACGTGAATAATTTGATGTGATGAATGTGCCATTACAGGTTGGCCAGGTGCCCTGGTCACGTACGGTAAAATAAGTTATTGCCTGGGCTCTCATCCAATAGCTGCTTTGCGTGTGACATGCGTGCATATGCATCACAGGTATATATGACATCGTTTACCTACGTGATCGTCTCGGTCCAGAAGTCCGCGTGTTTGTATTATGGGATCGGTTGGAAAAGTTGTGCGGGTGGTGGTTGATATAAAACACGTTTGAATGCACAGCTTGCCCTGAGGACTATCGCAGAAGTCAACAGGCTTCTAAACAGGCTTGAAAATACAAGTTTCCCCTGTTGACTTTCCACTGCACTGAGCAATTTTGGACATTTTATGGCCTAAATTACTGCTTTGGTTATTCACTCCATAATATATCACGGCAACTCTAGCAGGATAACATGAAACAATTCTACAGTAATAACTACCTTCATCATATGCCCTCTGGCCACGTGTGGTGATGTTGATGATGTAAAAGCATTTGTTGGTGGTCCAAATGGTGACTTCATCGGCCGTGACCACAGGGTACAATGCTCGGGCAGCGTTACGGTCGCCGATGGGACGTTGCATGCTACCAAGCAGCTTTGTCGCCTGCGAAGCGCCATTAGAATTCTTTACCCTTGAGGCATTGACCGTCCCACGTGGCGCCCCGCGGCGGTTGACCGTATGACCTGGATTGGAACGAGCGCTCCCTGCAGCCAAGCTGCGCAGAAGAATGCGAACTGGCAGAAAATGTGACGTAACCGCATCATGAACGTGCCACCGAACGAAAAGTCCCGAATAACAGCTAAAACAAGCACACGGATTCCAACAAAATGGCGTGACACGCTGATATCAACTAGCAACGGATGCGGCGAAAAATGATGCGTCCTGGTTAGCTCTGTTTCATCGTCCGGACCAGGCTAGGCAAGTTTGATAATGATAATTAATGTGGCAATAAGCTATAATGGCGGGTATGATAATGGTTTATAAAAGCCTGTTCATTAAAATGATACAATACCCGGACAGGACCTTAGCATGCATTTTTTCACGTAGAGGAGTGCCTAAAAACTGCCTAACGCTGCTTGCGTGTCCCCACACATCGCTCTGACAGCGTTGCAACACTTAAGCCTATCTAGCGTGACATGTCAGTTGACGCTCACAGTGCCGACCCAGATTCGATCCGATCACACAGCCCTCTGAGTTTGTGCGGAGTAGAGGGCTAATAGGCCTGCTGTTATGAAATTTGAGCCATTTATGCACAAATGCGTTCCTCTCTTTAGCATTTTGTCCTTCGTATATTTTACTTAATCCACCATCTTAACATCTACGTGTTCTTTACAACGCTGGGGTAACAGCTGCGATACCCCAAGCATTTAGTTACCCTTAAAAAAGAGCAAAGCTTGCGGCGTCCACGCCTAGCTGCAGTGCGATCTATTTCATGTGAACATTCAAACATTGGGCAGATCCCGGGCTTAATACATACAGGTGGCTGGCCTCGGTGGTATCATCGAATCGTTTTACGACTAGTTTGTGCTTGCCACTGAAAACAGCGACACGTGATTTGTCGCCCAAGGCACAAAATGCCTCCATAAACCGTACATGGAGACCAAGCCAGCGTAAGAGGAGGTTAGACAACATGGTAGCTCACAACGTGTACATCCTGAACCTTTTGTGCTACATCAAAACCTGAACGTAATTCATGAAAGTAGGAGGTGAGAGAACGACGGGCTTCCCGTCTTTCGCTTACGTTGGACAATAATCCTATGATGATGTAGAAAAGGAATCGACTTAAAAAAAGACTAAGCTCTCCCATTTTTGGGACGTTTCTACACCACTGATCTCATATTTACAATGTACATGACCATTGAGGAAGCAAGTCTGAGGTAACTATGTTTGCTAAAAGATGGACAAAATGAGCACACCTAATGTGCAAAAACCTCGCACCCTTTTGTTACCCACCGCTATTCACTCTTGGTCACAAGAGCACTGGGGTTTCAAGTAGTTATCAGAACTGAGTATCAACATAACAAGAGTTAGGTGCATAAAGGTTGGTAAAAAATTACTTGTTAAGCGAAAAACGTGACGGGTGTGGATAATTAAGCTACAACTGCACAGTTTCAAGGGGCTGGCAAGCAAGCAACAAGCAACGATCAACATTCCATTTACGTCCTGGTACATAAGCCGCATCAGAATTCCCTTTTCGTGATGCGGTCGCTATTCCATTCCAGTCTTTTCAGCTTATTTTGGGATTTCAACTCTAATGCAGGTTGCTTCCAGTTAACGTTTGCAGGTGAGAAGAACCACTTACCGCTTGTGCTCGTGTCCAAATTGAACAACGGGATAGTCAGAGCGCAAGCCTCGGAGACGCATCAATGGTTTCAATCGCATCTCGGTTACCTCAATCTTGGCTGCTTCAATCTTTTCTCCAGTATCATTCTGAACAGAAGTTAGATCTTTTCCACAGTTACATAAACCTGAGCATTGGCCTCTGTATGCTGACTAGTGAGTGTATTCATGGTCGTCGTCCAGCTACAAAACGTTCGAGTACCGACCTGTTTCATATTCCGGTAAGCAGCTCGCGGTCTTTTCTTGCGAATAATGATCTAGTTGAGCATACTTGAAGGCTCTTCCAGTATATAAGTGTCAATGAGAACCTTGACGTTCAAACCAAAACGTTCGAGTACCGACCTGTTTCATATTCCGGTAAGCAGCTCGCGGTCTTTTCTTGCGAATGATGATCTAGTTGAGCATACTTGAAGGCTCTTCCAGTACATAAGTGTCAATGAGAACCTTTTCAGTTCATGTCATGTCAGCGTCAGCCCAGACAAACCGTAACCACAATTAGGTAGTTGGCGTTGACAGAGTTGGCGAATCGTGTTTCGACCAATTTGCATTAACCCCTAAAAATAGCGTCAAGAGGTTGTCCGTTAACCAGCGTTGTTCACCCGTGATGATCTCAACTTCGCTCCATTGGGCCCAAATGCCCCAAAGAAGAGCATGGCAAATCTCAGTCATACGATTTGAGGTTGCTGCAGTGAAACACATTTTCTTGATTGGCGGCCTGCTTTCCGATTTGCAGTAGAGCTACTGCGCTTCCAGCTAAACACTTGACGACGGGAACGAAGACTGAAGGAAGCTCCGACAAACAGTTGGGATGGATCATTCTCCTGGAAAATTATACTAACTTATCAAACGCGATTTTGTCGCGGCTGCTGTTATGAAGGGCGAACTTAAGGCGCTCTTGATGTATACAAAACGATGGGTTGTCGGAAAAGCTTGAAACCATACCCACGGTGTGAACTTCGACAGCAATTCGCCAAGGCAATGAGAACGTTAGGCACGGTTTCCTGACTTCCATCGTTGCTGTCTTTCCTGCACGGGACATGCTAGATGTTTTGCATGCCCTATGACACCTGCTGGCAAAGTAATCCACTTAACTAAATCCCTTCGGTCAACGATGACTGATTCCACACGGATACGGCCGCTGAAGCGGTTTATTATCGCGCCACCGTCAGCTGTCAGTGGCCGTCCCGGCGCGCCTCCGAAGCGCGCGCACTCGCTGGCGGCGGCCGTGGCGGTCGTCGTCGCCCACATATCGACTGACTGCGCGACCGGGCGCCGTGTTGTGGCTCCGTCCAGGTGATGGGATCGATGGCACCGGCGGCGGCTCCACCACGGGCCAGTCATCGTGGCGACCCGTCGCTGACCGCCCGTGCGTGACGGCACCGGGCCGCGCCGACGGCGAACGGAGCGTCCAGCGCCGCTTGGTCGGCCGCACTGCCGGCTCGCCGACATGAAGGGCTTCGTGGTCGACGTCGACGAGGGACCGCCGCACAGCCGGCCGCCGTCCTTCGCCGAGTGCTACGTCTGCAAGAAGCAGTTCGGCTCGCACTCCATCGCGCTGCACGAGCCGCGCTGCCTGGAGCGTTGGCGTGCGGCGAACAGCGCACTGCCGACCGCCAAGCGCGCCGCCACGCCGGTTCGGCTGGACTCGCTGGGCTCGCGCGCGCCGGCTGTCGCATCGCTGACGTCCTCGTGGCCGTCCAGCAGCGGCCAGATGCGGGCGGCGGTGGCGGCTGGGCCGGGCAAGGGGCGCGCCGAGCGGCCGCGCACCACCACCCTCAGCCGGCCTAAGGTGCTCGACGCGGACAAGTGCACCGAGGTCGACATGTCGACGCGGCGCTGCAGCGAGCTGCTGGCGCTCGCCTCGCTGTCGAGCCGCAGCGGCGGCGAGTCGAGCTCGTCGCCCGACTCGGAGCAGGCGGAGCGGTCCGGACGGCGCGCTCGGCCCGGCACCATGCGGCTGGCGGTCGGACCGCGCGACCTCAACGTGCCCAACATCGAGTACCGCGCACGGACGGCCGTACTCTCGCCAGAGCGGAGCCGGCTGAGGCGCGCTAGCGACAACAGCCGCTCGTCGCCGGCGCGACAGCCGCACGGCGCGCGCCTGCCCTCACCGTGTGTCTCGTGCGGCAAATCGGAAAACCCGGAGCGGTTCCACAGCCACCCGGAGGAGGCGTCGCGCTCACCGGCTCGCGCGCGCCGCCTCGTCAAGAAGCGGCTCTCGATCCAGCGTCCGACGCCGGTGCGATACAAGCCGCAGCCGTCGCTGGACCCAGTAGCGCAGCGCAAGCAGCAGCAGCGTCAAGAGAAGCGGCGCAAGGAGGCGCGCCTACAAGAGGACGAGGTGCAGCAGGAGCGCCGGCGGGAGGCGCTGCAGCACAACCTGGCACTGACGCTGGCCCGGTACCAGAGGCCGGCGCTCGGTCCCACCTTCATTGTGTGCTACGTCTGTGGCCGCCAGTTTGGCCCCACATCCATGCCCATCCACCAGCCGCAGTGTCTCGAGGTGAGATGTTCGCTGCTACCAGCCGATCAGACATGGCCGTTCCAGGCAGGGTCAGGACCCCGAGCGCAGGCTGGGCCGGCGCAGGATGGACGAATAGAAAGACGGAAACGCACGTTCCCGCGACGTTTTGTATTGTGTTACTTCGGGCATAAGCGGCGAGCATCATTCTGCCAAGGAGGACCAGACGTGCTCTATCTGATGATGTGCCGTCCGTCATATGGGGCACAGAGCACAGGATGTGTCGAGTGAACCGCAGCGGAGTCAGAACGCCTTGAGAATGCAGCTTTAGCCTCTTGGAAGTCATACATAACTGTATGTAGTATGTGCGTTTTCCCACCCCGCACCAAAATCCTCTGCCCTGGTCCGTTTTATGTGGTCGTCAGCCACACCAACCTCCGCGGGCTAATGGCCGCACTGAATCCGACACGGCCGGGACGTTCCGCAGCCAGATCTGGGGATAAGCTATCGACTCGGTAAAATTGTGCCCAGTTGATTTACGAACGAAATAGCCCCGGCATCATCTCCGATTGCAATGAGCGAGGAACCCATGCCAGCATGCACAGAATCATCTAAATTATGTGTACATTGACGGCGTACATGGTCGTAAGAACGGAGTTCTGAAGAAAAGTGGTCGAGTGCCAAAAGCACGCGTTCAACATAAGTTTTGAGTAATTTTTTGACGTTACTCGCTGTTTTAACATTACCTAACAGGTCGACACTGCCCAATGTCCATGTGCGCATCCGAAAAGCGAGTCACACGAAAGGAGAAAATCAATTGCCAGTGACGCATGGCAGTTTTTGTGTGCCGACAGCAAAAAATAAGCGCGGCGGGCTGAATGTTCGCACGTCACAGCTAGCTGTACAGCCCTGTCCGAGAACTACCAGCCATTCACCGAACACCTACACCAAACACCGAGTGCTGAATTCCCCGAACCAGCTGGCTGCTTCTGTGCTGTTGGTATATTTATGACCACATACCTCAGCAAGAGTCATTGGGACGTTTTGAAAACATCATTACGGCCGCGCGGAGACGGCGCGTCGTGTTTAGGCCACTGTGTTATACACTAGCCTGCATCGATCCATGGCCGTGCAGAGGCGTGCAACCGCGATGGCTATAGCTATCGACAGACCTGCACAGAGGCTACGCGGGTAGCTGCTCGGGCACGGCTGGCCGCAGTCAATGCGTCCGGAAAGGAGCACAGCCGTGCTTGCCATGGTGAATAATAGCTGAGCCGGGGACGCGCAGCGGTGCACGAGGTTGGCGATCGATGGTAATCGGCACCGGCGGCAGAACGGCCCATCCGAACCGGCTGCGACGGTTCGATCAAAGTTCCGCCACCGTGACGTAGCACGCGCCACGCGCCATGCCGCGTTCATTAGCCAAGACGCGTGCCTGAATCACAAAACTGTCCGAAGGATTTAGACTCTTTCTGCAGTCATGGACTGGTGCGGCAATATCCGAGACGGACCATGGCATCATGGCTGATGTGGCTCATGTCTGACGCTTGTCACGCAGTCCCGCCGCTTTGCTGTCGCACTGTAACGCGGCCGGGATCGATAGTCGATCACCGGCTTATTTCCGTCCCGCCAGCGTCGGGCCGGTGGTAACTGAGGCGCGCGCTCTGCCCGGCAGCGGTGGTACAAGTCGACAGCGGCGCTACCCCGGCGAAAGCAGGGCCCGGCGCCACAGCCACCCGACGAGCTGCCCGAGGGCGCCACCCTAGAGGAGTACAACCAGCTGGCCACCGACGAGGCGCAGGTAACGGCGGCGGGGGGGGGGGGGGGGGCAGGGCGGCTGTCGGATTGTGTGCCGGGGTGTGGCGTTACCGATGTGCTGCGAGTGGTGGCGATGTCCAGAGGGAAGCGTTAGACATTTAGCCGAGATTTGATGCGATGGGGGCGCCGTTTTTTCTATGAGAGCGATGACTGGGCGACGCGAAGAAACGCTATTTGATTCCAGCCATCCAAGCATAACGACGGTTCGCTGAGAAGGTTGTGAAATTCAATCACACCTAAGCGCACTTTCCGAGATTTGCGTCCTGCCAGAATCCAAATGCATGCCTCAACCCTCAAATTTACTGGGGGATTTTTTGTGCTTTTATTGGCGTTGCTGGCATGCCCCATGGCTGCAATACCGATAACGTTGCTAATTTTGTCATAATATTTAATACATCATGTGTCATTTCACCTTACCAATATTATCAGCTGCTGGCATTTAAAGCCAACGTGTCCAGGGTCCGATAACCGTAATTGATCTGTGCAACAAGGACAAAAATTCTGACAAGTTTGTAATATTTATAGCTCATGCTTCAACAGCTGTTAGCGGAAATAACTCGCCGTTAGACCCAACAGAACACAGGTGTTTTGGACCGACAGGTGGTTATGGGCGAATGCATGAGCTGCAGGTAGTAGGCGAATACCGTATGCGATTGGAGCCTTTTGGAGGAATGCCAGTGACGATAAGGGATGAAGTATGACTGCGCTGTTAAAGAGACAATACATTTTTTCAACTGTAGATAATGTTGTGTAGAATCTCACATCTTAGCGGATGGGTATAAAGCATGGCCATTAACGTGGATACATTCGCCAAGGAAAGCCGTGTGAATAGAATGGCTTAGAAATGTCAATAAAACGCAACGTATAACGTGGGCTCTCCACCTGAAATGCGCTGATAAAAACAAACAGTCAGAGCCACCGAGCGCTCACCTGTTGAAAGGTGTAACAATCGATGACCGTTGTGCATTCCTAACGCTTCAAGCAAAGCGTGACCGGTTAGCGCCCGTCCGCGTGACCGGTTGGCACCCGCCTGCGTGACCGGTTGGCACACGTCTGCGTGACCGGTGAGCACCCGCCTGCATGACCGATTAGCACCCGTCCGCGTGACCGGTTAGCACCCGTCTGCGTGACCGGTTAGCACCCGTCTGCGGGACCGGTAAGCACCCGTCTGCGTGGCCGGTTATCACCCGTCTGCGGGACCGGTTAGCACCCGTCTGTGTTACGTCGGCACGCGCACAGGTACGCGTTTGAAGCTTTCGTCGCTGCGGTACCTCCAGGAGGTACTAAGTTATCAATGGTGGTGCTGAATCGGGGCCAGACAAATTTTGACTAATTCGCGTCGGATGTCGCACATCCGTCTACGGCTCAACTCAGCGGCGTCGGCACCGTTTCTAAGTCACCGCAGAGTAGAATCGGTACGTACCGACACCAGGGCTTAGTTTTATTGAGCGGAGCTACAAATGTACACACATTGGGATCGTACGGTGCAAGCTCACGTGCCGTGAAAAGTCACTGTTATTTCAGCGACATCTTTTTCGTGAGTCATTCGTGGATCTGACGGCTCGCGGGAGCTCCGTTGCCTTTGATGTCTGCGCCCATTCGGGGTTATTTCGATTTTCCTCGGTTCGTAAATTTGCCTGCTAAGATTCGTTCCAGTTCTTTCATCTCTAGTATACGCTAGGCAGCTAAACCTAGACGTACTTATTGAAAGCACCAGGACAGGGCGCTGGAACGGTGGCCATAACCATCTTAGCATATTGTTTCCACGCGTCATGGAGCATAACAAATCTCAGCGTCGAAAATATAAAATACGAATACGAAGAAAATATCCAACATGCCATCCTGCACACACTAGAATTCCGCTTCCTCCAACAGAGGACAAAACCAAGCAGCATCAGGGCTGTCATGCACTGAGAGAAGTGTCATGCATGAAGTGCAAGCATCGTTTGCCCCGATGGCATGCATGAAGATAGTCTTGTGGTCCAAAACGCGAGAACTTGAGTGCAGTCTTAATTGGATTGAAGAACTGCAGTCTGATTATGAGTTGGATTTGTGTGAATAGTTAACGGCATTGCATCGTCTCATTTACGCCACGCAAGCCATTTGTTACCAAAGGGTAATATAATCCTTTAACAGCTGTGACGGTAGCGAAAGAAACGTCAAGGCGTCCCCCGTGTCTATTCGACACACCTTGCAAAGAGCGCGGGTGCATTATGGAATGCACATGGCCTGCTCTATGACTGCTCTTCCGTCGCTCCCACGTCGTGCAAACCCAACGATTCAGCTCGTGCCAGCAATGGCTCCGGAGGACTCCGCAGGCCGCTGGCTCTTTGGACGCGACCCCGTTGTTGAAATGGCCGACGCCCGCCGGCCGTGTCATTTGACCGAGTGATGGACACCGTGTCGTTGGGCTGAGTGATGGACTCTGTGTCGTTGGGCCGAGTGATGGACACCGTGTCGTTTGGCCAGGTGATGGTCACCGTATAGTTTGGCCGAGTGATGGGCACCACGCCGTTGGGCCGATTGATGCCCACCGTGTCGTTGGGCCCAGTTCAGGACGCCGTGTCGTCTGACCGAGTGATGGTCACTGTGTCGGGGTCGGCGAATAGTGAGCGCCGGGTTCTGGGAAGCGCCGCGGGCGATCAGACCCCGTGGCGTATCGGCCGGCTATTCGACGCTCGATGGGCGCGCACAGCGGGGGCCCGTGGCCACGGACCCACCTGCCCCGCTCAGGGCACGTGTCGGGGCGTCTGGTCACGTGACCCGGGTCACGATCGGCATACGACCGCGGCTGTAACGCGAGCGGACGCAACGCGCCAGAGACACCGACTCAGGTGCGGTCTGCCCTTATGGCACAAAACATTGCCCTGAAGTCACGGAACAAGTAAATAGCACGGACTCGGCTTCAGTAAATCGATACAGGTGGTTTTCGGGTCTAAATTTTGCCGAATAGCAGCTTTGTCAAGCAGGCAATCCCAGATTTACGTGGATATTTCTGATAACAGCCAATCGAGCCAAATTAGTTCCCAATGTAGGGATCCATGTAGGGATCATTTCTTGTAGTAATCCATGTAGGGATCAGGAACCTTACTAAACGTTCAACTTTTAATCCAAACGGATATTTCTGACAATAGATAACAAAGCCCAATTAGCTTGCAAGCATTAAATGATTAGGGCCTGGTCCAGAAAAAAACTTTATATTCTTTTGGAGATCAGACCCAATAAACCAAGCGGTTTAAATGCGGCAGGCCACGACAACTGTCAATATAGCCGGCAACTTGTCCAATCTAAATCAAGTAAGCATAGTGTTAACAAAATCAAATGTGTTCACTCGAGATGGTTTAGAATCTATGGATGTGGGTCACGCCTAAGCTTTTATCCGCCCTCATTGCCGCCAAATAGTAAACTGGATTTCTTCATTTGTATCTACTTGTCTAAACTTACATAGCTTTCACTTAACACAGATGCATCTTTTTGAGCAGCAGAGTTTGGGTAAAATGTAGCATAGGCGTAGGAAGGTTTCAAAAAGTGGGGGGAGGGGAAGCTCATGGCGTGCTTCAGGAACTTTTTCTAGAAAGCAAGTCCGATGACCGGGGAGGGGAGGGGATGGAGATGGAGGTCCTTATCTCTCTTTATTCAAATGTCATGGCTGTTTTGCTAAATATGGACCTAACGCTATTTCTCACTGGTGTAGAACCTTGCTTGTTCGACCCACCTATGTCATTCGGCAAATAGGCTGTCCAGCTTCCCAGAACTATTTGTCCCTTTCAACATTGTCTTTCCCGGGGAGGCGAAATTCCAAGCGCGGGTGAACATTTTGGGTCATTGAGAAGGCATCTGCCTACACAGGGTAAGGCCAAAATATGGCCTGGACGTATGTGGGTGAGAATTTTGAAAGCGAATCGATGGCTCACAGTGCGGTAAGTTTTTATGTGTCTTCATTTCGCTGGCTGAGTTTCAATAGATAAGACTTGTCGCAGCATTTTAGACAGAAACAAATTCGGAGGCTTGAAACCGCCAATAACAGTGTGACCAAAACCAAACAACTGGAAATTCTCCTTTTCAAAACCAAACCACAAAATGAAGGCCCTTCTGTCAAACCTTCCGTGCCTGGGCCCTGCTACCGTCCGCCCGCCGTTGACGGCCACTGCTCTGGGCCGGCTGTCTCCCGCATGACTGACTGCGAACTGATCGTATGGTTGCTTTGTTGCATATTTTTGGATCGGCATTACTACTAACTGGTCTGTAAAGCATATGTTAGACGCCTGCAGCAGCATCTTGTTCCGAATTATTTTTTCTTACACCACACCATCGCAGAAAAAAAAACTCCGGGATGCTGCCTGCCTTAGATATGAATTGGTCCAACATACATTTTATTGCCCATCATTCAACGCAGACGACTTGATATGCTTTTGTGTGCAGGCAGTGGCGTAGCCAGAGTCTTGCCAAGGAGGAAAACGGTGTTGAAAAAGCCCCTCTTGTGTTGACCTCCCCCCTAAAAATTACCGGATATAGCTTACTTGTTAACAAGGGAAACGGTTTTCTTCGTTTTATTGCTATTTTTACTTTGCAACCAGAACAGAAAGCAGAAACTGCCGTGGTATCAATTCTGTTCGGATTTTGAAGTCAATAAAGTGCAAAAATCAGGCGTTGAAAGATCGCATGAAATAACTCACCGGCGCCCTTCATTTACAATGGCTTAGTGGACTCTTTCTAAATCGATAAAATTCAGAGCCTTTTTCATGTTTTATCTGGGCTCTACAGAAAATAAGGACATCGCGAAGGTAGATTGTAGATCGACAGTTTTAGCCAATGCCTATCGGTGGACGAAAATGATGACGCTTCTGAAATAATTACCTTAAGACACTTAAATCGAGTAGTAATGCAAGTTATATGACATAATTTTGAGCATGTGCACGCGCAAATCTTAGCAAAAAAAACCGACGTCAGACGTTGCAGTCTCCCTAGGACGCGCAGCAACTGCCCAACAGCTAATACTAAGCCGTGGACGACGGGCATTCGGAAAGGATGACGCCTCCGAAAGAAGTACCTTTGAACGCCTCAGGACATCAAATCTTACATTTAGAAGACAGTCTGGGCGCATATTTCACGTGCGCGATTTTTAGACTGATGATAAGAACAGATTGGCCCTTAAAGCATAACAAACTGATGCCGGAATCTGGTGGTGGATTTGGAAGAGTAATGATAGAATCTCTATTTTTCGTGCTTCTGTAACTACAAATCTGCCCAGAAGACAGATAACTACGGCGTCCGCCGTCTGCTGACAGTTGCTGTGGCCGACGCCGTTCGGTTTTACGGAAGCTGTAACTCAGGTCAGCGCTGTCCTTGCGCTCGAGGTTTCGGGCGGGCATGTTCAAACATGTCGATGCAACTTATTTTACTAATCCATCCTGAAAAAATGAACGTTCTCAGGCAAACATGGGATCGCATTGTTTTTTTTTAAACTCATTTCAACCCACTCTGTTCAATAATAATGAGACCACCACTCTACTCAACCATACTGAGATTCCTAATTTCGTTCCAGGCAAGGGCCCATTGAGAAGAACACCAGGGGCACATTAACGTTTGGGGTCAAGGGTTGAAGAGCCATTACGTCTCATCGCCAAGTGCCTTCTGGCTGTCATTCTGGCTACAGGGCCGGGATTTCCTGGTCGATCCGGAGGTCATTAGAAAGATATATCATCAAATTGTTCCCCTTCCACGGGAGGCCATCTGACCCGCGCAGTTGGCCCTGAATGAGTACAGAAACCCCCACTGACACAACAGCATCCCTGATCGCCGCAGGTGGTCCAATAATCGTCACATGGACTCCGGTTCCGTGTTTGTTGTGTTCTTCAGAGATATTGAGGACTCCCTAAACGCAGATTGTAGATGAAATGGGGCCCCAAACTTGTATTAGCATGGCTAATGCATGTTTGTCTTAAAATGTTCAAGATTTATTCGGAATTGATTACATAGATAAGACAGTAGTATTAGCCTTATTCCTCGGAGAAAAACCAGAAGAATGAAGATATAGTTGGGTTGATATTTCGGCAACATGCCTTTATCAAAGCAATAGCTGAAGTGGACTCCCTTCTGTCCTCACTTCGGCCATTGTTTCGATAAAGGCATGTTGCCGAAATATCAACCCAACTATATCTCCATTCTTTTGGTTTCTCTCCGAGGAACAAGGCTAATACTATTGTCTTACATATGTGAATAATGTTCCTCGCTAATGCACTGAACAACGTACAGCATTGGTGACTGACAAACACTTTGTAACATGATTGGAACATGCGCGCTCGCAAGTCATAGCAACAGCAGCCTCGATACCCAGCGTTGCAGTCTCCATGGGCCGCGCGATCTTGGTCTTGCGATTGTAACACCAAGTGGTGACCAGTTAACAGCCCAAAAAGATGATGCATCTTGAGGAAGATGGCGGGTGAACTGGGTAAATTGGCATATATTTTAAATGTAGTGCAAAAGTGAGCCAAACACAGCCTTAATCTGAAGTGTGTGTAGGGGGGGGGGAGGAGGTACAGTTAATACTGTTGGTCCCCTGACCTCCCTGTTCCTACACCCATGAAATGTAGAGAGGTCCTCTCGAGGTCTTCCTAACTGGCCACTAACCCACCGCCTGTTGTACGTTTCAGAGGGTGAAGGGTGAGAAGAGACGTGCCTCCGTGGCAAATCCCACCGAGTCGGACAAGGCCAAGTCGGAAGAGAGCTTGTTTTTCATACAGTTTTAGGTGAATGACTGTGCTAGCCAGTACTTATGCCGGCAGTTGGGAGTGTAAATACATGCATAATGCGTACATAACCATGCTTTTGGAGTTGTCCCTGCTGTGCTGCTCGGCGGTGGGAAAACCGATCAAGCACCATGGTATCATTAATATCACGCGACCTGCAGCCAGTGGCAACTGAAACTGTGTCAGGAACCAAAAACACAAAAGAAGAAAAAAGGAATGATAACTCAGCAAATGAGTGATCATCGACACTATTCGTCGTGAATAGCTTTCAAACAAACAGGCACCAAGGGATCTAGCAGAAATCCTACGCCCTGCGTACAAACCGTGCGACGTACAACAATCCTTTGACGGTGCTAAAATGAGCACAGTTAAAAGATGCTCGCATCACGAAGCAAACCGTTGTTTTTGTTATAGTTTCAAGTATAAAAGAAGGACACCCAAACAGTCGCCCGTGGCTGCCGCTAGGCACTAGGTAGACAGCTGTATGGGAATGACACAGGAACGGTGACCTGCATTTTTTACTGGCTTAACGGATCGAATGCAAAATTATCCACCTGGCTGGAGGCAATCTTGAGTTGTTGGACATAGACGCACTTATCAACCTAATGAGGTTGAGCTTATAGCGAAACGTGAGATTATCACGAAAAGTGTGTTTAAAGGAAGTGTTCCACTTTTATATCGGGTTTTGAACTGAAATCGATATTTTGAAGACCTTTCAGTGCTGTTCACACGCCTCAGCTTCCTAAGGCCTAAGCCCCTCTAGTTTCTGAACCACACGCCCACGAAAATTGGGGAAGGTATATCGGGGAGGGTACTTGAAAGTCACCGCGGAATTCATGACGTCATGATAACGTCATTGAAACCTTGCCATTCCATAAGCCATGCAGTAGCGCAGGCCAAGAATAATATAATTGTTGAGGCGTTCATATCTGGCGTTCGCGAGTGCGATCTCGAGATATAACGGCCGTCAGTTGACTCTGAATCAATGTGCAAGGTACGACGACGCAATCAAACCATCACGCATTGAGAAGCATGCTTACTAAATGGAGAATTGTGCTGTCTGGAGCAGTATTTCTACTTAAGAATCATTCCAATGGTTATACGTGGGCTTGTGCCATCATACCTGATGCTTGCTTCAACATCTTCAAATGTGAAACATTACCTTCGAGATGTTTAATTTGTTATTATTTAGGTAAGTCAAGTACTTAGGTACGTTAAGGTAAGGCATCCTTAGGAATGCCTTACCACCACGGCCCAAAAAAATTACATTGGAAATGTTTCATTTCTGCCTGCCCGGAACGCCTCGGCAGCATTGCATTGATGACTATTTCTGTCTGTCCGGTAGGGTTTTATACTGAAGACACTCTGTTTCTGCCTGTCCGGTACACCTCAGTAGGATTACAATGCAATGCAGAGGCTTTACTTCTGTCTGTTCGGTACGGCTCAGCGGAACTACATTGGAGATGCTCCGTTTCTGTCTGTCCGGTACGGGTTTACATTGAAGACGCTCTATTTCTGTCTGTCCGGTGCACCTCAGTAGGATTACATTGCTATGAAGAGACTCTACTTCTGTCTGTCCTGTACAGCTCAGCGAGATTACATTGGAGATGCTCTGTTTCTGTATGTCCTGTGCAGCTTAGCAGTACTACATTTGAGACGTTCTATTTCCGTCTGTTTTGTACGGCTCAGCTGGATTGCATTGAAGATGCTCTGCTTCTGTCTGTCCGGCATGGTTCAGCGTAATTGCATTCAATACGCTCTGTTTCTGCCTGTCCGGCACACCTCAGCAGCATAGTATTACATTCAAGACGGTCTTCTTCCGTCTGTCTGGAGCGGCTCAGCGGAATTTATTGATGACGCTCTATTTCCGCCCGCACGGGACGCCTCAGCAGGATTCAGTTGCGTGCTGGCAACCGGCCAAGCCAGTTTGGTTTCCGCCGAATGTGACGCAGGTCGATCCAGCGGCCGTTTTCTCATTTAGGCGCTGCGTGCTGCGGTTCCTGCAGCCGTCCCGGCCCGTGCCTGTCACTGGGCTCGCTCCGGCTCGCTCCAAGACACGGCACGCCCTCAGCACCGGAGTCGGACACCCCCCTCCCCCCGTGGCATAGCGACACGAGAGACATTCGGCCCCGTGCACTCTGCTACGCTCTGTAGAGTGTGGCGGCAGCCTACGCGCTGCTTGCTGGCGCAGTGGGTGGTTCGGACCAATCAGGTGCAAGGTTGGATGTCCAGGAAGTGAGATGCTGTGAGCTTCACGGTGATCCTATTGTCCGCGTTTTTGCCGCTGGTGCACGCTGAGCATTCTGTCTTCAATAGCAGATTTGACCCTCTGTCTGGATACAGGACTTTGTTGGATGGTGCTGATGGTGACAGCGCTTTTTTGGCAAGATTGGGTCGTGCTCATCCCCCAGCTCATGTCACAAAACAGCGCGCCCAAAAAGCCTATTCCTACAAGTTTTTCGGATACTTTTCAAATTTAACATAGATTTTGACATTGATTCAAACACAATTGTATCTAAAAAACAGCAAACTTGTGTTTCATGGTTCAGATAAAACTTGTGTCACCAAATGCTAAGTTCCATAATGTTACCCAACAACAGCCAGAGACCTTACGGGGCACAACGGCAAACGTGCATCTGGCACCAGGTGCAGACGTGGGACATGAAGTAAGGCAACATCTTTGTTTCACCCATGGGTATCGTAGTCAGTATGAACCCAAACAATGCGTCCTGCGTCCGGGACGCCAAGAGTAAGAAACGAAAGGTCCAGTCTGTTGAACACAGATTGGTGCCTCAGCACCAACTGCCGACTTTTTCTTGGGCCAAAGGTCAGCGTTTTGCACTTGATGGACTGATTGCGATATATCATATATATATATATATATATATATATATATATATATATATATTTCATATATATATATATATATATATATATATATATATATTCATATATATATATATTTCATATATATATATATATATATTCATATATATATATATTTCATATATATATATATATATATATATATATATATATATATATATATATATATATGAACTGCTACACCAAAACAGGGTAGGCAATAAATTGCGATGTAACCGGCCACTCGTCTGATGATATTTGCGTGCGTCAAACTATATCTTAACTGCTTTTAACTCACTGCTTGCTAGATGGCAGCTCGAACCGGTCGCTGCTGAAGTTCCAGGTGTTTGGGAGAAACCGTTGTAAAGATTTGTCGACCGTTGCAGTTTCGCAATGTACCGGAAGCTAGCACCTAGCTTCCATCACCAGCCGAAACACCGGCAGCGGCTCTGTGGCCATAGTTGTTCGTTTCTCCGTAAGAGTTATCAGTATTGGTAAATTTAGAGATTGCCATGCATGTCAAGGTATGAGTGACCGAAAATTAGCAGCCGTGATTGCAATATTTGGGTGAAGTGTACACAGACAAGGACGCCCCTTGGAATGCACTGTAAGCACTGGCTTAACGTACAGGCTATTTATTCGGAATAAATAAAGCTGGGGAGAGAGCTCATAGGCGCAAGCCATTCATCATGACACTCCTTGCCATGTTGGGCAACTTATCTAGTGACGCCACCGGCTCCCCATAAGACATCCAGCAGCGCCATTGCACAGCTCCTGTCTCCGATGAGGCAACCTCGATGTGTGCAGTCGAGGGTCACGCTCCCCCACGACGAAACCGCATCACACATCTGTATACCCTCACGACGAAACCGCATCACACACCTGCATACCCTCACGACGAAACCGCTTCATACACCAGCATACCCTTACGACGAAACCGCTTCATACACCTGCATACCCTCACGACGTAACCGTTTCATACACCTGCACACCCTCACGACGAAACCGCTTCACACACCTGCATACCCTCGCGACGTAACCGTTTCATGCACCTGCATATGAGTCGGTTTCGCCAAAAACGGTCACCACCTTCAATACGTATGATATCTCTGCCTGGATCCACAAGTCCGGTTGGGCCTGGTTACGCACGCCAGGTCACTTGGTTCATTGTACGGGAGTCGTCACGTTTTCCCAACAATGTCCTGCGTAGCTTTAGCATCCCCATAACTTTGGTTTTTCTCTGCTCATCTTTGCCTGCTGCGGTTTGCAGCGGGGCTGGATAAATTTATCGAGCTAGGTGTGGGTACTGAGCGTTATGTGTATGCTCCCAGATGATGGGGCCAGAGGTTCAAGTTAAACGGACGCGATAATCTTGCGATAATTGTGTATTTAGTTCGCTGCTCATATGTGAAACGAAGTCAGCTGGTGGTTAATATAGCCATGTGTATGATGCTATGCGTTTTTCAGCACAGCTTGGAAGTCCAGGACGAGCACGAAATTGCAGACAATGAAGAGGTTGACGAGATCATGAACGAACACCAGTCGAGATCATGAGCTCCGCATCCGTCCTTGACAATAAATGACAATTCTTAGTATCATCCTCAAGACTGATGATTCTCTGAGAGAGATGTGCTATCTCACATAAACTGCTTCTACAAACACCATTACATTGCCTGGCGATTGAGCTGCTGATAGGCGTGCGCCGCCCGCAGCGGCAAAATGGATTCGAAGGCACAACACGCGGAATTCTGTCGATGGGAGACCAGGCCGAAAACGATGAGCACTTCGTCTGCCCGTGAACGTCACGAGCCTTTAAAAACACTCAGGTCTTGTGGTGCCCAAGGAACAAGGCGAACGTGGGAGCAGCGCTCGCTGCCGTCAGTGCAGAGTCATGTCGGACAGGTTTATGTGCATATAGTTCCTGTCACCTTTTATCATCGCTATCATCGTCATCATCATCATCGTCATCATCGTCATCGTCGTCATCGTCGTCATCATCGTCGTCGTCGTCATCGTCATCATCGTCATCATCTGTTGGAGCTGCAGCCCTCACCTCTCCCTTCTTGGCCTCACGCCTCCTTCGGTAACTGCTGCCACCTTGAACAGACCCTAAAAGCTTCAGGATGTTCATGATA